TTAACAACCTGCGATATGCAGATGATACAACCTTGCTTGCTGAAAGTGAAGAGGACTTAAAATATTTACTGATGAAGATCAAAGACCACAGCCTTCAGTATGGGTTGTAACTCAGTGTAAAGAAAACAAAAATTTTTATCACTGAACCAAAAAATCACATCGTGATAAATAGAAAAGCTTGGCAAAGACTTCATTTTGCTTGGATCCACTCATGGAAGCAGCAGTTAAGAAATCAAATGATGTATTGCATTAGGCAAATCTTATGCTCAAGAGCTCTTTAAGGTGTTCAAGAGTAAAGATGTCAGCTTGAAGACTAAGGTGTGTTTGACCCAAGCCATGGTATTTTCAATAGTCTCATAGGCATGTAAAAGTTGGGCAATAAATAAAGAACACCATGGAAGAAGTGATGTATGAGTTATGGTGTTGTTGAAGAATATTAAAGTACCACAGGCTGTCAAAAGAACAAACAAACCTGTGCTGGAAGAAGGACAACCAAAATGCTCCTTAGAAGCCAAGATGGCGAGACTTTGTCTCTCATACTTTGGACCTATTATCTTGATGAGGGACTAGTCCCTGGAGAAAGACATCATGCTTGGTAAAGTGGAGGGTCACTGAATATGAGGGAGCTCCCCAATGAGATGGATTGGTACAGTGGCAGCTGCAATGGGCTCAAGTGTAATGATTGTGAGGATGGCACATGACCGGGCAGTGTTTCGTTCTTTTGAGCATAGGGTTGCTATGAACCCAAATCAACTCAAAGGCACCTAACAACAACCAGATGCAATCTAGACTCTAGCCAGAAATGATCAAACTATGTTAATCAAGCATTTTTTCTCTAACATTTAAATTCTACTTCTATGTAGACATCAATAGAAAGTTGGTTATTTAAACAATACTTGGACTTTCCTGAAAAACACGATTTCATTTGGAAGGCTAAGAGAAAGTTACACAGAGTTTTCTCCATCTTTTATAATCATATTCTAGGTTTTTATCCTCTTTTCATTGATTTAATGGTTTTATTTACATGTGTATGTATGTATGTATATATATATATAAAATGTTGTTGTGAAGTGCTGTTGAGATGGTTCTGACCCTGTATAGGGTTTCCGAGGGGCAGCTGGTGAGCTTGAACTGCCGACCTTGCAGTTCAAATGGCTTTGCAATCTGGCACATTAACCCACAACACCACACCAGGACTCTCTCTATATATACTTATATCTACACATATACATATATATCTGGAGATCTGGTAGCATTGTGGTTATAAGTTCGGCTACTAACCTCAAGGTCAGCAGTTTGAAACTACCAGCTGTTCTGTGGGAGAAAGATCTTTATGCTCCCATAAGATTTATAGTCTTGGAAACCATATACAGGGTCGCTGAGTTGGAACCTACTCCATGACATACCACCATATCTGTCTGTCTATCTATCATATATCTACCTACCTACCTATGGAGTCCTGGTGTGACGCTGTGGATTAATGTGCTGGACTGCAAAGTTGGTTTGAACTGCAAGGTAGACGGTTTAAACGCACCAGTCATGCCTCAGAAACCCTATACAGGATTGCTATGGGTTGGATGTGACTACTCGACAGCACTTAAATGAAAAAAAAAAAAAAATATATATATATAGTCCTGGTATGGCATTGTAGGTTAAGCACTGGACTATATGAATATATATATGAACATATATATAGTCCTGGTATGGCACTATAGATTAAGCACTGGACTGCAAGGTTGGTTTGAACTGCAAGATCAGCGGTTCAAACTCATCAGCTGCTCCTTGGAAATGCTATGCAGGTTTGCTATAAGTTGGAACTGACTTGACAGCATTTAACAACACACACATATGGAGTCCTGGTGTAGTGCTGTGTACTAGACAGCAAGGCGGGCTAGAACCACAAGGTCAGAGGTTCAAAGTCACCAGTTGCTCCTCGGAAACCCTATACAGGGTCGCTATGGGTAGGAACTGACTCGATGCGTTAACAATGTTCAAACCGACTTGGCAGTCCAGCACATTAACCCACAGTACTGTACTAGTATATTTGTTGTCTAGTTGGTTCCAACTCATAATGGTCCCCTGTATACAACATAAAGAAACACTGCCCAATCTGGCACCATCCTAACAATCAATGTTTGAACCCATTGTTGCAGTCAGTGTGCAAATATATATTTGTGTGCAAATGTAAAGCCTGTTTGGAACTGGGCAGTGGGTTAAAAGTCTACTGCCCTATTTAGCTCATATGCCTTTGCTAAGTTTCTTCCTCCTGCATGCAACACTGTCTTATTTCAGGTTTAGTTGTGTGCTTTCCTTTAAACATTCAACTCAATTCAATTCTACTACGAAGCCCTTCCTGACTACCTCGTCTATAAGCATATTTCATCTACCAAGAACATCTGTAGCATTGATTCAACAGCACATTAATGACACAACAATGCACCCCATACAAGTTTCTATTTTAATGTACATGATTGTTTCTGACTCATCAGGCCTACTGCCTTCTCTTAGTCACAATTTAACATTTAACAACTGGACAGCTTTTTGAGAAGAGTCCAGGGCAAGAACATTAGTGAGTAGGTCTGTCTTTTTCCTGTGTTACCTTTGGCCTGAAATGAGCTGGTATCTCTAGAAAATATTTATGTGCCAGTAGAATGAGGCTCAGGCGCCCTCACCCCTTATAAGTCCCAGACTGTATTGAGGAGAGAAAGCCCCAGCAGTTTTATTTTCACTCAGCCCATTTAGATTCTGATCCTCCCCTTCCGTTGAGGCTCAGGGGGTTCCTCTAGTTTTCTTGCTTCCACCTAGGCAGGGGGGGCTCGTATCTAGTTGAGGGTTCTCCCTCCACTGGGCGGGGGTCCGTGCTTGGATGGCCAGTGCGTGCACTGGCCCCGCCAGCTCCTCCGACAGTGCATCATGGATAAGGCGGTGCCGTTGCAAAGGGCTCAGTCCCTCGAAGCGAGAGCTCACCACCGCCACACGGAAATGCGTCTCGCTGCCGGCTGGGACCGCGTGGCCGCCGCTCTCATTGCGCAGCTCCAGTACCTCGGGGTTTAACGCCTGCTCCAACTTCGAGCGAATGGCTGTTTCTACCGGACCGATGGTTCCTGATCCCGTGCTGCCCCGGGACAGAGAGATGCGACCGGCCATGGAGACCAGACGCCCGATCAGCTGTCCACTAAGCATCGGCTAAGGTAGAAACGGGGATAAAAGAGCAATAAGGCCGGGGTCTCTAGCCTGGTCAGAACCCAAGCTCACCAACTCCCTTCCCTTCCCGTGAGCCTACAGGGGCGACATCCATATCACACAGCCCTCCTGCAGGGAGTTTCCTTCAGTCCGAGCCCTCGCTACTTTTTTGTGTGGCGTGAGAGAATTTGATCCCCAGCCGCAGATATGGGAGGGTTGATTACAGGCCCACGCTAAAGGCGTGTCTATACTTAAGAAAATTTGTAAAGAATGGACCGGAAGCTGCAAAAGTAAGACATGTACCTCTCCGGTCTTTTGGTTGACCGGTGCCCTTGCCTAAATCCCAGGTTGGGCCCTTTCTACCTGCCTCACAGCCTCGGCTACCGCAGCTCCTGTTAAAGCCAGGATTCCGGACGTCCTCTATGGAAACGCAGGCCTCGCGTCCCGAGAAACGCTGGGAGTCCTTGTTACGCTAAGGTAATTGGGCACGCGCCACGTGATGCCTCGAGGGATCTTGGGAATTGTAGTTCCTCGCGACTGGGGAGGTTGTCAAGAGATTCGAATTCCACCCAATGCAAAGAAAACGGGATGCCCTGGGCGTTTGGAATTATTTGATCCATTTTATTGTAAAAGGAAGATGCAGATCATCTAGCCCAGCGCCTTTATTTTGTTGTATGTCGTCGAGTCAGTTCTGACCCATAGCGACCCTGTATAGGGTTTCTGAGGAGCAGTTGGTGAGCTTGAACCGTCGATCTTGAGAGCCAAACCGACCTGGCAGTCTCACGCATTAACCCACAACGTCACACCAGTACATATAAGAAAATGGAAGTCCGTTACATTCACTGAATATGTAATTATTGGTGTCTGATCAATACAGGGTCTCTATGAGTTGGAACCTACTCAACGGCACTTAACAACAACCTCAAAGAAATGGAGTCCTGGTGTGGCGCTGTAGGATAAGAATTAGACTGCTAACTTCAAGGTTGGCGTTTCAAACCCACTAGCCCCTCCTCGGAAACCCTGTGTCGTTGTTGAGTGTCATGGAGTCTGTTCCGACTCATAGCGACCCTGTATAGGGTTTCTGAGAAGCTGCCGGTGGATTTGAAACGCCTACCAGTGGTTCAAACCGACTTTGCAATTGAGGGCTTATCCTATAGCCTATATAGAATTGCTGTGAGTTGGAACCTACTAGATGGCACTTAACAAGAACAGCAAACTCAAAGGAAAGGAGTACTGGTAGGCAGTGGGTTAAGAGTTGAGTTGATAACTGTAAGGTCAGCAGTTCAAATCTGCCAGTCATTCCATGGAAGAAAGATGAGGCTTTCTGCTCCCTGGAATCCGTATACAGGGTCACTAAGAATCGGAACTTACTCCAGGGCACTTAACAACAAAGGAATCCTGGTGTGGTGCTATAGGATATGCACTGAACTGCTAATCACAAGGCCAGGGGTTCAATAACTCACCAGTCACTACTTTGAAACCCTATACACGGTCACTATGAGTCAGAACTGACTGGATGTCACTTAACAACAACCACCACTTCAAAGGGAGGCCTGGTGGCCCTGTGGGTTAGGCATTAGGCTGCTAACTGCAAGGTATGCAGTTCAAATCCAGCCTACCAGCTACTTCATGGGGGGAAATGAGGCTGTCTGCTCCATAAGATTTAGTCTTGGAAACCCTGTTAGGTCACTATGAGTTGGAATGGACTTGATAGCAGTGGGTGGGAACCTCAAAGGAGCCTTAATGGCACAATGGGTTGTGTTTGGACTGCTAACTGCAAGGTCAGTGGTTCAAACACTTCAGCCACACCTTGGGAGAAAAATGAGGCTGTCTGTTCTTCATAAAGATTTACAGTCTCAGAAACCCCATGAAGCAGTTCTGTTTTATCCTGGCTCACTGTCAGTGGGTAGTACATCAAAGAAAGCATAGAATATTGGAGAAAATGGTTAAGGTAGCCAACAATCTTCAATACTGTGTGGTTGTTGTTGTTAGGTGCCATTGAGTCGGTACCATCTCATAGCGACTCTATGCACAGCAGACGAGATCCTGGGCCAACCTCACTACTGTTGCCATGCTTGAGTCCATCGATGCTGCCACTTGGCCAATCTGTCTCACTAGGGGTCTTCCTCTTCCTCTCTGACCCTCTACCTTACCAAACATGATATCCTTCTCCAGTGACTGGTCCCTCCTGACAACATGTCCGGAGTATGAGAGATGAAGTTTGGCCATCTTGGCCTCCAAGGAGCATTCTGGCTGCACTTCTTCTAACACAGATCTGTTGGTTCTTTTGGCAGCCCATGGCACTTTCAATATTCTTCTCCAACACCATAACTCAAAAGCGTCAATTCTCCTATGGTCTTCCTTATTCACTATTCAGCTTTTGTATGCATATGAGGTTATTGAAAATACCATGGCTTGGGTCAGGCGCACCTTAGTCCTCAAGCTGACATCTTTGCTCTTCAACACTTTAAAAATGTCTTGTGCAGCAGATTTGCCTAATGCAATACATCGTTTGATTTCTTGACTGCTGCTTCCATGAGTGTTGATAGTTAATTCAAGAAGAATGCAGTGCTTGACAACTTCAATCTTTTCTCCATTGATAAGAATGTTGTTTATTGGTCCATTGGTGAGGATTTTTGTTTTCTTTACATTGAGATGCAATCCATACCGAAGGCTGTGCTCTTTGATCTTCATCAGTAAGTATTTTAAGTCCTTTTCACTTTCAGCAAGCAAGGTTGTATCATCTGCATATTGCAGGTTGTTAATCATTGAATACTTTAAACAAACCTCACATTATAATAGTTGCCTTTCACATTAACGTTAAATTTCACACCATATTCAATCTTATGTAGTTATAAAAATTAATTTTTACATTGACAATAAGTTTTAACATTAGCTATAACCTCACTAGCTAGAGTTTTAGCAATTCAAGCTTAAAATTGTAAGAAACATTCCAGGTGGTTTTAGTCAAGGACATTAAGGCTTTTAGAAAGCAGCTTAGGAGACAGTCAAGAGTAGTGAGAGCTTGGCAACAGAGGTAGGAATTTGATTAGAAGTTTTGAGAAATTGTTAGCATGAAAGAATTACTGCTTTGTTCTTAACTATGAAACTTTAGGGTACTTTCATGTTCTTGTTTTTATTGTTTGATCAATTATATGTATAACCAGTTATAGTAAAAATTATGTTTTTGATTGTAATCTGTAACTAATGAATCTACAGAAAGTAATAGATGTTGGTAAAGTTAGAAATTAAGATGTAGAACTTTGTTTAAAATTAACCTGACATTTTAGGGAGGATTAGAGAGAAACAGAGTCGCTCATAGAAGGCAGACGTTGTCACGGTAACTAAGGAGTAACTAAGGAGTATAGAGACACAGGAATGTTTGGTGACCTTGTGTTCCTCTTGTACCGTTGATGTAACAATATAATATTTGATTGATTTGTAACTGCTTGTACGTGACTGTTATGAGATCATAGTGTATTCTAAAAGGGATATAAGAAGCAACCATTTTGAAATAAAGAGAGTCATCAGAGAGAATCATTACCATCATCTGCCTGAGACTCAAAATGACCCATTGACTCTTTGAGAATTTTTTTATTTTTTCATTCAAGCCGACTCCACATCCTCCTCCTCAGGAGAGCCTCCTAATAATTTGCCAAGGCTGGTCCCCGGCAGTAAACCATGTGGTTGTCAGATTCAAAATGGCCAATACCAGTCCATTTCAGCTCACTAATGCCTAAGATATTGATGTTTATGTGTTCCATTTCATTTTTGACAACTTCCAATTTTCCCAGATTCATACTTCATACATTCCGTGTTCCGATGTTCAATGTATGTTTACAGCTATTTCTCTTCATTTTGAGTTGTGCCCCATCAGCAAATGAAGGTCCCGAAGGCTTTACTCCCACGGGCTTTATGCCATTCACATCATCACGGTCAACTGTACTTTGAGGAGGCAGCTCTTCCTCAGTCGCATTTTGAGTGCCTTCCAACCTGAGGGGTTCATTTTCCGGCACCATATCTGACAGTGTTTCTCTGCTATTCATAAGGTTTTCAGTGACTAAATATTCGGAAGTAGTTTGTCACTCTTTCTTCCTAGTCTGTCTTTGGAAGCTCATCTGAAACCTGTCTACCATGGGTGACCCTGTTGGTATTTAAAATACTGGTGGCAGAGTTTCAGAATCACAGCAACTCACAAGCCACCGCAGTATGACAAACTGACAGACGAGTGGTGGTGAGATGGAACTAAACTCAGAATGTTCAGGAGGCATATTACCTAGATCTGGGAGACAGAGAAATTTCCAAGAGGACATTTAGGGGAACACTCCAAGAAAGGATAGCATAAAAACTCTTTCTTCGTCTTTTTTCTTACTGAGAAGAGGGAGTAGAAAAACCTGTTGCAGTAGAATCAGTACTGGACTGTGAACCACAAGCTTGGCAGTTCAAAACCACCAGCTGCTCCTCGGAAATCCTACACAGGGTCGCTATGAGTCAGAATGGACTTGATGGTACTTAACAACAACAGGTGAAAGATAATTTGGAATTAGATTAGAAAGATGCAGTCTATAAGACTTGTTTTTAGTTAGGGCCTTATAACACTCTAATCCAGTTGAGGACGTCATGTAACTTTTTATCTTCAGTTTTCTTACGAGGGCAACGCATAGAGCCAAATTTAATGGTTATTTAGCAATTTTAAATTTCCAAGCTTCCTCACAGCTATTAAGCATGCATGCTGTATCAGTCACCAGAGGTAAACATGACAAGATAGTCTTAAATTTTGGGTCTTAAATTTTAGCAGGAGTGAAGAACCAAAGATTAAACATTTAAGTAAATAAACAAGATAATTTTAGATAGTTGTTGTTGTTATGTGCCATCGAGTCGTTTCCGACCCATAGCGACCCTGTACAGGGTTTCTGAGGGTGTAAATCTTTACGGGAGTAGAAAGCCTCATCTTTCTCCCGCGGTGCAGCTGGTAGTTTCGAACCGCTGACCTTAAGGTT